GTAACCGGACTAGTAATACTGAGGTTAGGCGAAGAGTTTTAGGTAATCGCGGTTGTCCACTGGAACAAGTGGTCGACCTCCATAGATTACGCTGGTTGGAACATGTGCTACGCATGTCACCAGATAGGTTGCTACGGAGAGCGATGGTTGCTGAGGCAGGTAGCGGTTGGAAAAACCTGACGGGCGGTCAAGCTAAGACCTGGCATGAGGGTATGAAAACCGTGACCAGGCAACTAGTTCATATAGGTTCTTTATGACTCCTTGGTAGGGGACCCAGACATTATGGACACCAAAGGTTAGAGACACAGAGCGAATAGTGGCGCTCATGACTCATTATTCTTGTAATTATAGTCTATAAAAATGTGCTATCTCCCGCTTGAATCTGCTCTGAGTATTCCCATCTTCATTCTGCTCTTTTATCAAATGGGGCACCAAAAGCCAGCAACCAAACCGGCACACGAAAGTGCATGGTACTGGTTGTAAGAACTGAACTGAACTGAAGTGAATTGAACTGTAGGCACATAATCAATATGACAAGTTATCGTGCATCGGTATTTTTACTTTACAATACATTGAAAACGGACTTGCTATTGGCAAGCCAGGTTGGTGGTGGTGACGCAATGGTTTAGTCGCTGTCACCGGCATGCTTTGGATCATGTGGTCCGAGGTTCGAGCCCCGCCACCACTTCCCAACTTTGGTGGTCGACATCTTTGCTGTCGCCGGGTTTTGTACCACGCCTGACCCATCGGGGCCTTAAGTGGTTCGCCACTTGAAGTCCCGGGGATCAGGTTGGCGGTTGCCATCGCTGAACAGCAGATCTTCGTGACTGTAGGTCTACTGTCATCGCATACTCGTATGTAATGGAAAACTATCAACGTGAAACAATGAACTGTCATGCTGGATTTCGGGGAGTATTTTCTCATTTTGAACTTCAGTGTCCAACTCACTACAAATGTTACTCTAAAATCCAAGGTTGAGCCAATTTAAATAGAGATGCACGCGAATCAAAAACATAGCAATAGGAGATAAAATTGGAAGTGATTGCTCCTTATCCATGGATTATATGGATATGCGAGAAATATTAACTCAGGTTCTCAGAATAAAGTAGAGCACACAGTATTTGGAAAATGAAATAACAATACCTATGTCTTGCGTGTCATTCCAATAAATAGGTTCTTATGATTTTTTTGTCGAGGTTCAATCATCTCCAAATAGATGCGCCAAAACCGCTTATTAAGATGAATACGTCTTACGATTGGTGGCCACTCGACCAACGAAAGCAAAAATGTTATTGTTATTACAGCTAAGTAGTCTGCTGTGGGGTTATACCGTAGTCATTCCCGTTCGCCAGAAGTGAATATGGAACGCTGAAGATTAGCCTGTTCACCATTTCATATTCTCATTGTGTTCCATTAAACTGTTCTCTTCTCATTTTAATACCGCCACGCCCGAAGAGGTGCATCAATGTAACCATCTCTGTAGTATTCTACTGACATCATCCGAGGATGATGACCTCAAGAGACTCTCTTTTGAACTGGTGCTTCTGAAGAATGGTCCAACTTCCCGGCGTTACTCTTTTAGCGTGATATTATGTGCCAATTGTAACCCCTTTCACTCCAGGTTGTAGCTCCATTAAACACTGGAACCTAGAGCGTGAAGGAACATGCATATGGATTATTTTTATTAGTATTGCCCTCCGAACCGAGTGTGAGATTCAGTAGGTTTCAGCATTGTAGTTTACATATAAAAATTTGCATTTAGAGTTGAAAATAGCAGTTTGTTCTACATGATCCTTCAATCCTTTACTATCGTCATTTCCATAAATTTAATGTTACATCTTTCACGATTACTCATCAATAGCAGAAACAACTCAGATAACACAATGACAATATCACAGAACTGGGGTGTTTATAAACACAGTTCAACACAGCACATTATGACATAGTAGTAGTGGCACCCACTACGGATGTTGGGTGAGAAACACGAATTGAACAGTGGTCATTCACGATATCACTGAGCGCAAACACACGAAGACGCGTAGTAGATTCGAATACTGCGGAACAAGTATCACGATAGCCATGTTTTGCAGGCCCATAAGCCTTTAAAAGAAGCATCTTTTGGGGCTGATGATTGATTAACACATATGGCCGTCGGAATCGTAGGCTCTCAGTTTCTGACCCATCAGTAGTTCTATCGGTGAGACTTCTCCACACATACAAATTTGGCCGTTTATAAAAAATAACCAGTCTCTAAAAGCGTATTCCATGTCTGCAATAATAGCATCCACAAGAATGTTATGGACTACAAATTTGAACGGAAATGTTGGTCGAATGTATCTTTCCGTGACAGCATTAATTTTCTTGGGACCCTAAAACAGAATAGAAGTGGCGTGTGTAGAAAGATGGAAGCAACTTCTGTGGCATTCAGTTACACTAACATTTGGCTTATTTAACTGGAGACTGTCAGTTTGGTCCAGTTTTAGACCGGAGATCTTGATTAGTTCGATCACAAGTTTTTCCTGAAACTGCAACTTAACACACAAAGTTTCAGTTTCAGTGTTTACAATCACGAACCATGCGTCAAGTGATGGACTGCGATTGTGCGATTTCAGCAGAAAATCATATCCCGTATATGCTTTACATCGTGATCCTGTCGGTACAGGCGTACCGATACCAAAATGATGTTCGCGCATGTCGGTGCAACGTTTTGCAGATTAACTGTATGTGATCGTGTCAAGCTGTGCTGATTGTAGTTTGAACAAACCGAACCGTATTACCAGTCGGGTTACCTCCTCATGCTGTCTTTTTTGATGAATGGATGATTGACAACTTGATGAGGAGTGAGTCGCTGCGCTGTGCTGCCAGTAATATTTCCCTTGGCTCCCGAATGGTCCATATTTCTCTTTCTCTCTCTCTTCGTACCCCTTCTTTTGCACAGATATGACTATGAAAATTGCACCTCTGCACAAGGCGATGAAATCATGAACCAATTGAAAGTTCTGCTCAAAGAAGGCGTCAAAGGTCGCGTTTTCGTCGCATCAAACGGTCGTCAGTTCCATGGTGAATTTTGCGACGATTTCTCCTATTCGGATCCGGTCGACCATTCACAAACTACCAATCAGGTGAGCGATGATTGATGCAAGTAAACTTTTGTTTACCCCAAGGCCAAGATCTGTTTACTAGTGTTCTATGGGTCTTTGATAATACGCACGCTATTGGTGTTGTTGTCTCTGTCCGGAACAGCTGGTTTCATAGCATTCCCCTGAAGCTCCACCCCGATCGCGTAAACTTAAAGTATATATATATATATATATATATAAAAGCTAACTAGTCAATGCACAATTTTTATTGTAGTCTCAGTTTTCGTTACTGTCAATTTCGCCCTTTCGGATGACGCATTTATTTACAGTCTTTAGGGTTTCCCTTTCTTCGGCTAATCAGGAAATGGTAAGTCGACAAATTAAATGGTGCGAGCACTATCGAAAATTAAGATGCATGCAGAAGTAGGCTAGATCTGCGAAAGTAGGGAGTGGATGCACGAGCACCATTGCTTACAACAGCCGTATCACTCAGTGTCCCTAAACATTCATTAGGTTAGCCCAGTGGCACCCAACCAGGGCTTTCGAGCCCTGGTCAAGGTTTTCATACCTTTACGCTAGGTTTTACTCTTAAGCCTTCCTCTAACCATTATCTGCTACAATAAACAGCATACGGCGAGGAATTCTATCCGGCGACTTGCGTGGCACACCCCAGACATCGTAATTTTTGGCGAGCAAGCACTTGTGACCGTGTGGTACAGCGATTACTAAAAACTGCGCCCGCTTGTTTGTCCCGTTGTCCTATCGTACTAGTGCAGTGTTCATGCACTAGCTATCTGTTTTTATCTTTCCTTACCGACAGCCATATATATACACCATACAGTAGAACCGGGCTGACCGCTGCGGAATACACTGGACCTTTCAAGAACAACAAAATGTCACAGTGCCACCAGAGATATCTTATACCACCCGGCGCATGGAAATGCATGGTTAATTTTTCTGGAAACTGAAACTGAAAACATCAACTGTACCTTCTGTAGGCTTGCCGACACTTCATCCATGATTATCTTAAAGTATTAAAAATGATATAATTTCCCTGTTGTCTCTCTTCCTCATAGTGAATGCGGTAGCAGAACCTCACTTCAGTTCAGTTCTTACAACCAGTACCATGCACTTTCGTGTGCCGGTTTGGTTGCTGGCTTTTGGTGCCCCATTTGATAAAAGAGCAGAATGAAGATGGGAATACTCAGAGCAGATTCAAGCGGGAGATAGCACATTTTTATAGACTATAATTACAAGAATAATGAGTCATGAGCGCCACTATTCGCTCTGTGTCTCTAACCTTTGGTGTCCATAATGTCTGGGTCCCCTACCAAGGAGTCATAAAGAACCTATATGAACTAGTTGCCTGGTCACGGTTTTCATTAGCAATGCTGAGGTCTTAGCTTGACCGCCCGTCAGGTTTTTCCAACCGCTACCTGCCTCAGCAACCATCGCTCTCCGTGGCAACCTATCTGGTGACATGCGTAGCACATGTTCCAACCAGCGTAATCTATGGAGGTCGACCACTTGTTCCAGTGGACAACCGCGATTACCTAAAACTCTTCGCCTAACCTCAGTATTACTAGTCCGGTTACCCCACCAGACTCGTGCAATGCTACGTAGATAGCGATGTTCGAACACCG